CCAACGCAGAGAGACTGCGAACACACAACAACAACATCGACAACAACATCTTGATCGCCCAAAATCTCTACCCCAACGCAGAGAGACTGCGAACATACAAAATTCACTGCCAGTACAAAGAATCGATCATTGGATTTGGCAAAGAATCAGCACAAAAGTCAGCCAAATTTGGGGTAAAAGGACACATATGATCAGTTCGGACAATGTCCATTTGCGAAGGCCTTGTTTGGAAAAGGATTAATACGTGTATTGTACTTTCGAGTGAAATTTCGTGGTTTCTCGTTGGAATTTAAATCGATTTGATTGGCTACTTCAGAAGAGCTCAAATAATTATTAGCCAATCAAAACCTTCTAAATGAAATTCAACCAATCAGATCGATTGCGGATCGGTTTGGTCGGCGCGATTCGATTGCACCCCCTCCCCAAATTTGTATCAAATCGACAATAGTAGTTGTAATATAATAAAATGTCATTATATTTTGGACTGACAAATATCCAAGATGTTTGCAGTATTATACTACTAGTAATTATTATATAATAGCATGGAATAGTATTACTACGTAGTCTTTACAGTCCAAGTTCGTATGCCCGTGATATATCAATCAAAGGGGTTGGCAAGCTTGTCTTCCATGGCCACATAGACGCTTTTGAGCTGGGTCCACGACTGCGCGGCGGCCACGCCATTCTCCCGCCCCATACCCGACTGTTTGGAGCCTCCCCACGGGAGTTCCACCGGCGCCAAGTTGTACGTGTTGATCCACGCCGTGCCCACATCCAGCTGTTGAATCACTCGATGCGCACGTTTTAAATCGTTTGTAAACACTCCCGCTGACAACCCAAATGACGTGGCGTTCGCTCGGGCGACCACTTCGGCCTCCGACTCAAACGGCAGCACACACAGCACCATGCCAAAGATTTCTTCTTGCACGATGCGCATGTCGTCGCGGCAGTCGGTGAAGATGGCTGGCAATATATAACTACCGCGGGGGTCGATCCTACTACTAGTAGTACTAGGAAACGTGCCGCCATATACTAACGTGGCCTTGTCCTCAACGACACCAATACGAATGTACTCGCGTACTTTGGCCAAATGCGAGGCATGTACCATGGGGCCGACTTGGCTGGACGGGTTTAAAGGAGGTCCCACGCGGAGTTGCTGGGTCCGCGCCACCAACTTGCTCACGAACGCATCGTGCAACGACGCATGCACAAACACACGCGTGCCGTTCGAACACACTTGGCCGTTCGAGTACCAGTTGGCGAGCATCGCGCCTGCGACAGCGTCGTCCACGTCCGTGTCTTCGAATACGATCAGCGCCGACTTGCCGCCCAGTTCCATCGTCGCAGGCTTGAGTTGCGATGCGCACGATGCATACACCTTCTTTCCCGTCGATACGGAGCCCGTGAACGATACCTTCCGGACCGCCGCGTGTTCCACGAGTGACGCGCCGACGCTCCCACCGCCCAGCACGACGTTGAACAGTCCTGGCGGCAGGCCGGCCTTGGCGTAGACTTGCGCGAGTCGGAGCGCGGTCAACGGAGTCTCCTCGGACGGTTTGAACACCATCGCGTTGCCAAACGCGAGCGCCGGCGCGCTCTTCCATATCTAACGAATCGAAACATAATGAGAAAGGACAAAAAAGAAGTAGTCGTTCGACATACAGCGGATTGAAGCGGGTAGTTCCATGCGCCGATGCCGGCGGTGACCCCGAGCGGTTCGCGACGCGTGTACGCCCAGTTGGGTGCGTCGAAGTCGAGCATCTGCCCACCCAATGTTGGCGCCAATCCGCCAAAGTACTCCAAGCAGTCGGTGGCACTCAGGACGTCGCCTTCCATTTCCGAAATGACGCGACCCGTGTCGATGCTCTCGAGGACCTGAATGTCGTTTGTTTCTTCGTTCAAGATGGCCGCAGCCCGACGAAGAATCGTGCCCCGAGCGGCAGGGGACAGCGCCGCCCACGCTGGTTGCGCCGACGCCGCGCTCTCCACTGCATCCGACACCTGTCCTTCATCCACGTCGTGGAACTCTGTCGCTGGAGTGCTCGTGCTTGAGTCCAAGAGCGTCCGTGCGACCCCACGGCCGCGAACATGCTTCCCATGGATGAACGACTTGACGTAACGGACTGCGGCGGTCATTTTATGTGGTCGCGATCTTGAGAGAACCTGTGAAATCATGCAACATTCATGCGTGAGATTCTCTCAACTGGTCCAAAGTCAATAAAAACTTACAAAAGGAGGAAAGTACAACTATATACTGCCAATACACCAATCAGAGGCCACGATACTGATGTTTCATTGGCTCATCCCGACAGTAAACACGTAAAGAGTGTCTTCGGCTGTATAATTTAATTCCCATTAAGGTGTCAATGACACCTTGCCATACCCAAGTCATCTTCCGTGTGATTGGCTCTCCTGCACTGGATAAGGTAATAGTTTTAATATAATTCAAATTTCGCAACTATTAATACTGGTATGGTGCACGTAATCGAAAAACTTCGAACTGGCCAAATCGAAGAATGGCGGTTTTACTATTTAACCTACATTTAATGCAGTTAAACCCAAAAACCAAATACGCTAAATACCGATTCATACGTTTTACCCCTGCGGTTAAAGGTCCCAACCCCCTCCGGATATTATATACGGATTAGAGTCATATACAAAAATCAAGATATATCTCACCGGTCTCCCTAAGGCCAAATATCATGTAAAATACCGCTAACGTAGATGGCCAGTTTATGGTGCACGGGACAGTTTAAGGTGCACTCAAATTGGCCAATGGAATTGCTTGATTTTTGGAGTAGCCAATCGAATCACTAGAAAAATGAAATCACTAAAAAATAAGCAAAAACAGCTTACATATTTTAAGCTTAAACCGTGCACCATAAACCGTCCCTCCTATTTTGCCTTGACTTGAGTGGAATCGAAGTAAATGAACGCTAAGTTGAAGGCTATTCACTGTCAAGCCGATTAAATAATCAGAAGAATGCCCAACCTTTCGGCT